CAGGGTCGCACAGGGAAGTCTCCTGCACTGGTCCCTGGGGGACGGGCCAGGAGGGGCCTGGCTGCTGGGTTCTGCTAACGCAGGCTCTGTCTCGGGTCTGGGCAGGAAGGAGTTTGAGACGAGCCAGCTGAATTCCAGGATTGAAGATGAGCAAGTTCTTGGGGCCCAGCTGCAGAAGAAGATCAAGGAGCTGCAGGTAAGGGGTGTGTGGGGGGAGGGCCCCGAGGCCACCGGCTGGCAGGTCCCTGAGCGAGCAGAGCTCCCTGGGCTCTGCTCTCCACCCCGGGCAGCGTCTCCCTGTCCCTCTGCACCCTGGGGCCTCGCTGGGCATGTTCCGGCCACTCCCAGAGCCCGGCGGTTCCGTAGGGCTCGCCCTGCGCACGGGGCCTGGGCCAGGAGAGAGGGATTCTTGTAGCCACATGTGAGGGACAGAGCAGCCCTGTGGGCGCGGGCCTGGTGGGGCCCAGGCTGGGGAGCAAGCCAGGCCAGTGCCAGGTAGGGCCGGCAGGTGACGGGGGCCGGGTTTGCGTGACCCGCGCTCCTGGCCTTTCGGCAGCGGGAGGCCACCCTTGAAGGTCCCGCCCTTTGGCCATGCCCCAGAGCCTCAGGCCCTGCAGATCCAAGTGTCACAGGCTGGGCCCCCGTCTCCCAATGGGCCAGACCAGATCCCTGGGGCTGGGCTGCCCTTGTTGGGGGCGGATGCAGGGGGCTGAGAATCCAGTCTCAGCTGGGTCCAGACTGGGGGGCAGGTGCTGAGCAGCGCCGGGCTGGCTGGGGGCGGCAGGTGGGAGGGTGCGGAGGCGGCGCTAGCCCGGGGCTCGCTTTGCCCCACCAGGCCCGCATTGAGGAGCTGGAGGAGGAGCTGGAGGCAGAGCGGGCGGCCAGGGCCAAGGTGGAGAAGCAGCGCGCGGAGGTGGCGCGGGAGCTGGGGGGCCGCGGCCCTGCGCAAGAAGCACGCCGACTCGGTGGCCGAGCTGGGCGAGCAGATCGACAACCTGCAGCGGGTCAAGCAGAAGCTGGAGAAGGAGAAGAGCGAGATGAAGATGGAGGTGGACGACCTGTCCTCCAACGTCGAGTATCTCACCAAGAACAAGGTGAGGGGCCTGCGGGGGGCTCGGGTGCCCCAGAGCAGCAGTGGCTGAGGCAGGCGCTGGGCTCTAACACGCAAGCGCAGGGGCTAGGGCAGGAGCCCGGGGCTCGGGGGCCTGTC